AAATCAGAATCTGAAGACAACTATTTCCCAAGACTCTTCATGGCGAATGTAAAAGAGGAAGAATCCTTTTTTGAAGAGGAATCACCTGAAGAAACTCTTGTCCCTGAAAGGACTAAACTAAACCGAGGTCCTTGGTTCACTTTTGATGATATACCACCTAGCCGCTGGAGAAAAAGACTACTTGAATTTGGAGCTTGGCTTGACACCCAAATGATGAAAACAAGTGCAGATAGCTATAAGATCATTGAAGAATTTTGCTGTAGAATGACGGGCACGATAAAAGAATGGTATCACAATCTTGGAGCTTTCAAACAAGATGAGTTACACCATCTAGAAACTACAGCTAGTGTTCTTGGGGTTCTTCACCGAGAATTTATCGGTGATATGGAAATATTTGATAGAAAAAATAGACAAGAATTCTTTGAGATGAAGTGTTGTTCTCTCAAAACAAAAGACCTCGACAAACACTATCATAGGATGGCACATAAGTATTATGTCCTTAATGGGTATAATGACCCAAGTCTCAAGAATACTTATGTATCCTCTCTACCACAAGAACTTCAGCCAGAAATTCATAAAATATTAGCCACAGCTCAAAAGGATATTAAAATTATGAGTCTCATCCAGATTCACCAGGTGACCTTAGAAGCACTTGAAAAGCTTTGCAGTTTTCATCATCAATTTTCTGAAGTTATAGAACAAAAGTAAAAGTTCACCCAAGCATGTAAGAAACCCTATCTGGAGATTAAGTGTAAAGACAAAAGGTGTAGTTGTCCAACAAAAAAGAAACATAAAAAATACACCAAATCTCACAGGACCTTCAAGGGAAAGGAAAGAAAGAATATGAAGTTCTTTAGAAGAAAATCTTTTAGAGGAAAGGGGAAAAATCAAAGATGCTTTATTTGTGGGAAAAAAGGGTATTTCTCAAAAGAATGTCCTAATAACACCCATAAAGCCGCAAAATTGATTAACTCTCTTCAACCTCTAGAAGGAGACTTAGAATCTTTGTATTCTGAACAAAGCTCTGCTGATGAAGAAACAATTTTTGCCTTTCAAGACTCTTCGCCTGATGAAGCATCATTTTCGGAGTCAGAAGATGAAAGATATCTCCCGGTCTACTCCATCAAAGAGATAGGCAATTCTCTTCCTACTACACCACTTCCTTGTGTTGAAGTCCATGTTCTCGCAACAAAGTTTTCCCGTCCAAAGAAAGTTATAGCTTATATGGACACTGGGGCCCAAATTACCATGATGAATCCCAGCATTCTCCCTGCAGAATCATGGGTGACACATGCTGAATACTTTGTAGCAGCGGATGGAAAAGTTTTCAAGACAAATCTAATGACCAAGGAGAAAATAGGAATTAAATTCTCCCCAGACTGTATAGTTTAGACCAAGGTAATTGGCAGTAATCTTCCAAACAAAGATATTGTAGTAGGAATGGATGTCTATTCAGCAGCAATTAAACTCGAAATTCTCCCCACAGGAATCAAATTCAAAAGAGAATTCAAACCTTATTCTGGGATACTGAAACTATATTCACTTTCTAAGGTTCCTGCTGGCTATGAAGAGATCAAGTCCAACCTTCTCAGGTTATGTGCAGATAGCTATGAAAAATTCCGCCACCCAAAACCTCTATGGAAGAATAAAGACTTCTTCGTTCAACTTCCCTTCAAGCTCAATGAAGATGTTAATCCAACCAAGGTCATTCATCCAGGGATGAGTCCATCAGATTACGCATTAGCTAGGGAAGAATACCACCAACTGCTTAAACAAGGTCTGATAGAACCCACCAAATTAGAATGGGCTTGCCAAGCATTCTATGTGGAAAAGAGATCTGAAAAGTTGAGGGGAAAAAAGAGGCTAGCAATTGATTACAAACCTCTAAATCATTTTCTCAAAGATGATAAATTTCTCATTCCAAAAGCCTCGTCCTTAAATGTTTTCATCAAAAATGTCCAAATCTATTCTAAGTTCGACCTTAAGTCAGGATTTTGGCAATTGGGTATCGACCCTGAAGATTGTTATAAAATGGCGTTCTGCATTCCTAACGCCCAGTACCAATGGACCGTGTTACCATTTGGGCTTAAGGTAGCCCCATCACTCTTTCAAAAGGCCATGACTAGAATTTTTGAGCCCATCCTCAACAGTATCCTCATCTATATTGATGATGTGTTATTGTTCTCAAAAGATGAAAAACCCCATAAACAATTATTGGGTCAATTTCTTCAAATATCCCAACAACATGGAATGATGCTCTCTGAAAATAAAAGTCAATTGGGACAAACAGAAATTGATTTCCTAGGGATGCATTTCTCCCAGGGGAAATATCAACCTCAGCCTCATATTGCCCAAGAACTATTAAACGTTCCTGATGAAAATCTCACAGTTAAGCAAATCCAGCCATTTCTTGGTATAATTAATTATATCCGAGATTTCCTACCGAAACTGGCGAGATACACGAGTCCTCTATCCCAAATGCTAAAGAAAAAACCTCCACCATGGGGAACACAACAAACCGAAGCAGTGAAAGCCTTGAAGAAAATCGCATAAACTCCTCCTGCTCTAAAAATCCCTGGGAATGGAAAAAGAATTCTACAGACCGATGCTAGTGATCATTATTGGGGAGCAGTCCTAATAGAAGAAATTGAAGGAAAAAGATACTATTGTGGCCATGCCAGTGGCCAATTTAAAGAAGCTGAAAAACACTACCACACCACCTACAAAGAAGCCTTCGCTATAAAGATGGGGATCCAAAAGTTTGACTTCCACCTAAGAGGCTACCAATTTGAAGTCCAGATGGACAACTCCTCTTTCCCTAAGATCCTTGAATTCAAAAATAAGATGCCTCCCGATCCTCAAACACTTAGGCTCAAAGATTGGTTTTCCAGATATGATTTCTCGGTAAAACATATCAAGGGAACCCAAAATGTAATCCCAGACCTACTATCCAGACCCATGAAACCCATCCAGATCATCACAGCCAAGCACACTTTCCCTCTAATTCTTATGGTCAAACCACTACCAACCCATGCATCCAAAACAAAGAATCTTCCTCCAGAAATAACAACATCCTCTTCACCGTCCCAACTCAAGCAGTATGCCAAGAACAATCTTTTATATTACATGACAAAAATCATAAGGAACAAATTACCGGATCATAGTCCTTATTTCCCAGATACACCTTTTCTCCTGTCAATTTTAATATACCCAGATTCTAAATTCACAAAAACCATTTGTGGTATATTTGGTGTGCCACTTGTTTGTACTACGTGCCTGTTCTTATTCCCACTGAGTCCATGTATCAGCATATAATGGATCCCGAGAAGCACAAGTCTTTAATTTGGACCACTCTTGAATGGTATTCTCCATTACAATGGTGGAGAGATCAATTAAAACCAATCATAGACGAGGTCAGAGAACGAAGATTACCTTCAGAAGAAATTGGAAAACTCAAGTCTGTTTTCTTTCTACACAGGCCCTATCTGACAGATCCTGTAACTAAGCTGCTCAATTATAAGAGTTATGTTCACCTATGGGAAACCATTGATGAATATCCTCCCAGTCTAAAAGTCACAAGAGAATTACTGGAATATGTTAACTACATCAATCTCTATGATCCAAAGAAACTTGATGAAAGTTCAACTTGCATACATCATGAAAAGTTCATAAGACCGGAAGTTGGAGAAAGCTCGAGTCAAGCTACACAACAGAAACCAGATTCTCCAATGGAAGTTGAATTCTCTGAAGGACAAATGGAAGAAGCTAATATGAGATTAGCATATCACACCTACATGATGGATGATAGCTGACAGCGTGAGTCATCTCGCTATGAAGATTGCTTTTCTGATGAAAATTTATCTGATCAAAATATGTCCCCTCTCTCATGAACCCATTTGCAAAGACTAAATGGACAAATGTCCTTCAAAGATCACAAGCATGCTTATGAATAATAAACTTTTGTCTTTTTGTGCAATAAAACTACAATAATGTAATCCATTAGAGATAAGTGTGTCGAACTTTTAAAAAGGCATTCATATAATATTATAAATGTCATGCTTGTAAATAGTATTGTTTTTGTCTTATATGTACCTCCTTGGTAAAAGGAGGGATCTTGTAACATATTTTCATCAAGCATTCACAAATAAACTCTCTTGTGTGCTTAAGAATAAACATGTTCTAAAAATCTCTTCTTTCTCCCTCAAAGCTTTAATTATTGTATTCATATCATAATTCCCCCATAGATGCAAGTATGCTCTACACCTGCCTCAAAATGAGGATCTTGTGTATCAGAAAACATCTGACCATCGATCCATACTACGGTCCTTACTGTTATGAATTCAATTTTAATTGTTAGTTCGTGTTATGCCTATGGTTGGCTATTTGAGGACGTTACAGTTAAGGCTGAGTTTCATGGCATGTAAGGCTCCCGGACAGTGTGGTATCAGAGCCTAGCATATGGTATGAATATAATAAAGAGAGTGAGTAAGGGAGAAACCATTCCCTAAAATATCATATATTGAGTTCCAATTCAATATGAAAAAAAAAAAAAAAAAACACAAAATGCTACCGAACGATACAAAATTATAAAGGAAAATGAAATTCATTCAAGCTATAGCGGAGCACAGCAGTCATGGTTAACACAGATGCGGCATGATTTTCATTTGTGAAATTTTGTTGTCCTCAAATATACATTCTCCTCAAAATATTCTACCTCTCAGTCGTCAAGTTGTACAACTGGCCCCAGAACTCAACTCAATATTAAAAAGAGGAATGAATAGATTATTTTGGTATACCACCTGATAAATATTCTAAAACAAAGACTATTTTGTTGTGAACTGAAGGTTAAAAATGCCTTAAAATTATGCTCTAACAAAAAGCAACTAAGTTACAAAATTTCAAGAGGATATAACCCTTTCTCTGACCCTAAAAAATGCTTCCATATTCTGCCTATTACAACTCTCAATGAACTCTTCAACTATCTTTTGCATGTATATGAATCACTTTCGGGTCAAAAAGATCCCCAAACAACCAACTGCGATTACCACTACAAAACTCGCACCAATGTAATTCAAATCTGTAATTATGCTCTTGTTGTTGATTCTTGTTTGCTGAGACCTTTCCCCTAAACCACCCCGAAGAAGATTATTTAGATTGTCCATTTGATGCATGATCTGACGCTGGCCACGCGTAATGCCCGATATCTGACAACACATAGCAAACAAGTGAATCAATAAGAGATAATGCCACATTGATTCCAAGGTCACACACACCTTGGTTATAAGTGCAGAAAATCAGCTTAAATGGTCAAAAGTTGAACTTATAGAATAAAAGCAGGAGAATAAAATACCTCATCTATTAAGGGAGACTCCTTATTTAATTGGGATGAAGACAAGGAATGTGGCATCTTATAACCAGTTATGCTACCATTGCCCAAACTGTTGATGAAGTAAGACGTGGGAGCAGAACCATTGCAAGCTTCGGCTTGAGCCGACATATTTTGTTGGCTTGGAGACTTATTCCTAATGGTTAGCTTGCTATTCAACTCTTCAATACGATTTGTAAACTCATCCATTCTATCATTGAGAGCGGAAATCTGCTCTGAAAGCTGACTAATGGCTCTCTATCAAATATTAGATGAATGAGGACAAAAGATAGATAACTGATCGAAGCTTTGAGAAATTAATCCACATAGAGATGATGATTTAAGTTCAGTATGGTTACATGAAATAAGAATTATCACAAGGGATTGGAATTACCTGATTTAATTGTGTTGTGGAGGAATCTGAATTTCTTTCATCAAACCCTTGATTGTTGGTAAAATATCCATTAACTTTGGCTGCATTTTTGTCCCTTTGACTTGTATATGACTGGGACAATCCACTGTTGATGATTTACACAAATTAAGTAATAGCAAGTACTTTTCCAAACTTTCTATGTCAAAATTACTCTAGCCCTTCCTAGATTCAGATGAACTAATACATATATTTCCTCTTATCGTAAAATATACAAAAATGAAAAACCACTCTCAACATTGACACTAACACTGCAAACTAGTACAAGCAATAACATAGAAGTGGTTTAAAAGAGTAATAAATTCATCCATGTTGATACAACAATTAAGTTAAAACTTTAATCAAAAAGTAAATATCTTTTCCGACATTAAATTCAAAATATGTATAGGCTAAGCGATTAGGATAGGTCTTTTTGTAAGAGGTTGGGGTAATATGCATGTGGTCCTAAGCACAAATCTCACTGCCGCAATTTATTATACCACAATAAAAACTCGTACAAATGTAGATAAAGAATTCATTGCCTAAAGAAGACCACCTAGTAAAAAATTTCTCAATGATTACTGTTGAATATTAGCACAAAATCAAAACAGATTCTGTCATACAGCTCATTATGGCTGGATTCAAATTGTGATTAAATAGAAATTAATTGTATTATTATATTCTTACCTTATTTAAGATTAGCATTTATAGGGAGAATAATTACCCCTATTTCTTAGTGTAATTTATATTCTATAAATACTCATGTACTATGTTACAGAATAAAAGAAATAGAAAAAGCATATTTCTATATGGTATCAGTAGCAACAAGAATCCTTTAGGGTTTTTTTTTGTTTTTGCTTCCGCTCTGTTTATCTTTTTTACATCCCACAATGTCTGATACCGAGTCCTCACTTTCACCCAAACATTCCTCACCCGAACCTAAATTAGTCCGAACGTACCATGAAAACCACCCTGTTCAGATCACAACAATTCGGCTGAACGGTGCTAATTATCTTCGATGGTCGCAATCCGTTCGTATGTATCTCAGGGGGAGAGGAAAGATTGGCTACATTACTGGCGACAAAAAACAACCAGACAAGGCAGGTGCAGATTATGATACATGGGATGCTGAAAACTCCATGGTCATGACATGGTTAGTCAACTCCATGGATGAAGAGATAGGTGCAAATTATCTCTGTTATGATACTGCAAAAGAACTTTGGGAAGGTGTCTCCCAAATGTACTCTGATTTGGAAAATCAATCCCAAATCTACGAATTAACTCTCAAATTGGGAGAAATTCGGCAAGGTGAAGATTCAGTCACCAAATACTTCAATTGTCTCAAACGTATTTGGCAAGATTTGGACCTTTTCAATGAGTATGAGTGGAAATCACCTGCCGATAGCAAACATTACAAGAAGATGGTGGATGTTAGTCGTGTTTTCAAGTTCCTTGCGGGTCTAAATGTTGATTTTGATGAGGTTCGTGGCCGAATTCTAGGCAGAAATCCTATCCCTCCAATTGGTGAAGTCTTTTCAGAAGTACGTCGCGAAGAGAGTCGTCGGCAAGTGATGCTTGGCAAAAATACAGCAGCTGTCCCTCCACCAGTTGAAGGATCTGCCTTGGCAATTCCCCATGTCAATCGTAAACCACTTCATAATCAACGAGGTGGAGACAAGACTCATTTATTTTGCGATTACTGTGGGCGCAATCGCCACACTCGGGAAACTTGCTACAAACTACATGGGCGACCAAATCATGGCAAGGCTGGTAAGTTTGGTGATCGTCCTATGCCTATGGCCAATGAGGCTGATTCGTCTCCATGTACGAAGGAGCAAATGGATAACCTTCTTAAGTTTCTAAAGTCCAATTCATCTCTTAATATCCCTACTGGAACTGTGGCACAAACAGGTAAGGATTCTTGGGCACTATCTGCTCACAACCACTCTAACCCTTGGATAATAGATTCAGGGGCATCTGAACACATGACTAATTGCTCTCATCTATTCAGTACCTATTTTCCTAGTTCAGGTTTTGAAAAAGTTAGGATAGCTGATGGTAGTTATTCAAGTATTGCAGGCAAAGGCAGCATAAAAATTTCAGAGCAAATCACTTTGCAATCTGTTTTACATGTTCCTAAATTCGCTTGTAATCTTCTATCTGTTCATAAATTGTCTAAGGACACTAATTGTTCTGTTCTTTTTCGTCCCTCTACTTGTGTTTTTCAGGACCAGAACTCGGGGAAGACGATTGGAACTGCTAGAGAGATGAATGGATTGTACTACCTTGATGGAATTCAGTTTGGCAATAAAGCGTTTTTCGGTTCAAACAGTACAAACGCATCTCCTGTTTCAGATCAAATTATGTTATGGCATAAAAGATTAGGTCACCCTAGTTTTTCATATCTTAAGCATTTGTTTCCTATTTTTTCCAAAGAAATAAATTCCTCACAATTTCATTGTGAAGCTTGTCACTTAGCTAAAGATTATCGTGTGTCTTTTAAATCAAAAGCCTATTCTGCTTCTAAACCTTTTTATTTAATTCACAGTGATGTTTGGGGTCCTTCAAAAATTAAAACTATGTCTGGAAAAAAATGGTTTGTAACATTTATTGATGATCATACACGGCTGTGTTGGGTTTATCTCATGGAGAAAAAATCAGAAGTTGAACAAAGATTTCAAGATTTTTTTAACATGATTAACAATCAATTTCAAACTAAGATTGGCATTCTAAGGTCTGACAATGGCACTGAATATTTCAACAAATATTTAAGTACATTCCTTGTAACTAAGGGGATAATTCATCAATCCACTTGTCGCGATACTCCGCAGCAAAATGGTATTGCTGAAAGAAAAAATAGACATCTCCTCGAAGTCACTAGAGCTATTATGTTTTCTATGAATGTACCTAAGTATCTTTGGGGAAATGCTTTATTAACTGCTTGTCACCTCATCAATCGAATGCCATCTCGGGTGTTACAATATGAAAGTCCTGTACAAGTGTTACAAAACAATTTTCCTACATCTCGTATTATTACGGATCTTCCCCTTAAAATTTTTGGTTGTCTTTGTTATGTTTACATCCCCAATGTTTTTCGTTCTAAGTTGGATCCTAAAGCCGAAAAATGTGTTTTTCTTGGCTATGCTTCCAATAAAAAGGGATACAAATGTTTTATCCCAGTTACAAAGAAATTTTTTGAAAGCATGGATGTTCACTTTGTTGAAAATCAACCTTTTTTTAAAAATTCTCTTCAGGGGGAGAGTCAATGTAATAATAAAGAAGATAATTTTTGGGAAACTTTGCCTGCTCTAGATGATATTGTGACTACAAATCACCCAAATGCTAAGATAATAGAATCTGAAACAGGGGGAGAAACACTGATTAAGGATGATAATCCTGAACTTAAAGTGTATGTTCGAAAAAAATTCCACAAAGGTGGTGCAAACCCTATTGTCTCTCCAGTAGAAATCCAATCTGATTTACCAAGTGAAGGTCCTACAGATAATCTGTCTTCTAGTTCTTCATCTGGTAATCCTTCTTACTCATCCAATGATTTATCTGATTTGTCTTTTCCTGATATTAATCTTCCAATTTCTGTGAGAAAAAATATTCCTGACCTCGATGTCCCAATTGCTGAGAGGAAAGGTTCTCGTATGTGCACTAAACATCCTATGTCTAATTACTTGTCATATGACAAACTATCACACACCCATAAGGCATATGTGTCTAGGATTTCTAATTTGTTTGTGCCCAGAACTATTCAGGAAGCATTAAGTGATCCGAATTGGAAATTAGCAGTGGAAGAAGAGATGGATGCTCTAAACAAAAATAACACTTGGAGTATCACTGATCTACCACAAGATAAAAAGGCAGTAGGGTGTAAGTGGGTCTTTACAGTGAAATGCAAGGCTGATGGAAGTGTGGAAAGATACAAAGCGAGATTAGTAGCAAAAGGATTTACTCAAACTCATGGTATTGATTACCAAGAGACTTTTGCCCCAGTTGCTAAGATCAATTCTATCAGAATTCTTCTTTCTCTTGCAGTAAATTTCAACTGGACACTATATCAATATGATGTTAAAAATGCCTTCTTGAATGGTGAATTACATGAAGAAGTATATATGAGTTTACCTCCTGGATTTGAAAAAAATCTTGGAAGAAACAAAGTATGCAGATTGAGAAAATCCCTATATGGATTGAAACAATCGCCAAGGGCCTGGTTTGAGAGATTTGGAAGTGTTGTTAAGAGACACGGTTTCACCCAAAGTCAAGCAGATCACACTATGTTCTTTAAACACTCATCTGAAGGTAAGATTGCTATCTTAATAGTGTATGTTGATGACATTATTATTACAGGAGATGACGTCAAAGCAATTAGTGATCTGAAGAGAAGACTTGAGGCTGAGTTCGATATCAAGGATCTTGGAAAGTTAAAATACTTTCTTGGGATGGAGTTCGCAAGATCTAAAGAAGGTATTTTTCTCAACCAGCGCAAGTACATACTCGATTTACTTGCAGAAACAGGGATGACAGGGTCTAAAGCAGTAGAAACACCAATGGATCCCAATGTGAAACTAAAGTCAGTTGCTGAAGATGAAATAGTAGATAAAGAACGTTATCAACGATTGGCTGGAAGACTAATTTATTTGTCACATACAAGGCCAGATATAGCCTTTGCAGTGAGTGTAATAAGCCAATTTATGCATGCACCAGGTGCAGCCCACTTTGAAGCTATTTTCAGAATATTAAGATATTTGAAAGGTACTCCGGGAAAGGGGCTGATATTCAGAAATAGAGGACATATACAGGTTGAAGCCTATACAGATGCTGATTGGGCAGGTAATATAAATGATAGAAGGTCTACCTCAGGATATTGTACTTTTGTAGGTGGAAATCTAGTTACATGGAGGAGCAAAAAACAAAATGTTGTAGCCAGGAGCAGTGCAGAAGCTGAATTCCGATCTGTGGCCCATGGTTTTTGTGAAGTATTATGGATCAAAAAGTTCATGGAAGAATTGAAGTTCTTTGGCCCAACTCCAATTAAAGTTTACTGCGACAATAAGGCTGCTATTTCTATTGCCCATAATCCTGTCCTACATGACAGGACGAAGCATGTTGAAGTGGACAAGCATTTCATCAAAGAAAAAATTGACAGCGGTGAGATTTGTATGTCCTACATACCTACCAAAAGTCAAGTAGCAGATGTTCTCACAAAGAGTCTTCCAAAGAGACTGTTTGATAACATGGTGTGCAAGCTTGCTATGAACGATATATTCATGCCAGCTTGAGGGGGAGTGTTGAATATTAGCACAAAATCAAAACAGATTCTGTCATACAGCTCATTATGGCTGGATTCAAATTGTGATTAAATAGAAATTAATTGTATTATTATATTCTTACCTTATTTAGGATTAGCATTTATAGGGAGAATAATTACCCCTATTTCTTAGTGTAATTTATATTCTATAAATACTCATGTACTATGTTACAGAATAAAAGAAATAGAAAAAGCATATTTCTATAATTACAAATTTATCCAATGTGAATTGTTAGAGCATCTAATTTCCTCACTCAATATAGCGGCAAATAATTTCACCGATGAAGCTTTCCTTTGAGTTTGAGCTGCTTTATAAACTAAATTATAGATGTCTGACATTTGACCAAATGATATTGACACAATAACAATCAAGCCTTGTCCTAATAGTCAGGGTAACCTAAATGGACGAATCAATACTGCCAAATTCAATTAAAAGTTAAAACATTGAAAGCATGGTTGTTTTTCCTTATGTACTTAAGTGGAAAAAATTTACCTCCTCATATTCTCATTTCTCATGGCAACCCTGTCAGCAGAGGCTCTAGAAAGTGCTTCTTTGGGGCTTGAAACCAAATCCTCATCTAGGCTGAGCTTTGTCTTCAAATCATCTGGTAGAGCCTGTGGAACGGTCAGATAGAGAATGTTGATATAGGATTATATATTAGCATATGGCTAGCAGACATACCATAACCTCATTCACAAGCCTTTCAAGTTGAATTTGCTCAATGTATGTACGAGGAATGTAGGAACCTTCGAGACCCAGCTGATCTCCAATCTCTTTCAAAACTACCCGATCTCTCCCCTGTACCTGTTTATTATAAATTTCCGAACAATTCAGGCAAGCACAATTCGTTATCAACCTAAAAATCAAAATATAAAATCAAAGAAATCGAAGAGCAAAGCAAAATGTTTATGTCATGTGTCAGATGATAAACGCAGATATTTTACTTGAAGAAATAAAAGTCAACATGGAACACAAACTGTGAAGTCACAGGTTAAATACAAATGATTTTTTTCCGCTGACAGAATTATTTATATAGAGATCCTTACAGAAACAGTTGGATTTAGTTGTCATGTGACTAGGATATCACGGATCCGAGTCATCAAATCATCCTCTTGAAAATGCAAGTGAAACGGTGAGGTTTCCTAGAATGTATCTGTAATGGGTCTGACCCTTCTCTAGACCCAGCTATGGTGGAAGCTTTATAACACCAGGTTGATCTTTTTGACAAATTTAATTTTCTTTGGAAGTTCTTCCCTTATCTTGATAAATAAAATGAGAGGAAGCAAATATTTGATATGCTTATTTTAAGAAACATGCACATCTATTTATCTTAAGGTTAAAAGTTTTACACCAAACAGCTCTATTTTATTTTACAAATTTGTAAGAAAATTGCACCATAAAACTAATTACCATTGAACAATAGACTGATAATATAGTAAAAAAATATAAACTCATTGACCCGATAATTTCGAAAATAAATCCAATTTGACCTGATCAATCAAAACACAAAGGATAAATGGACATGCACGTCATACATCAAATCCAAGTAAAGCAAATGTAAAAACCAAATAAAGCAAATGAAAAAACCAAGCATAAATTGTTATAAAGATAGTATATGATAGAGTTACCTGAACATAATGTCGATTAAGTTGCTCAAGCCAATCTAGTTTCACACAAACTTTATCATCAGAAAAAACATGGCTGTTTCTCTTGAGGATAGTAGCTATCGTGTATCCCAAGGCCATTAGTCCACCAAGGAGGCGCACGCTGACCTCAAAAGTAATTCTCGGCGATATGACAAAGGGGTTGTCTGTCACCCATTCCTGAAAAGATACCAGGTATTAATTAGCTGCCACCATGCGAAAAGTTAATTATCCAGGCATCAACTATGGAGTATGTAAAAAAATAATGTGCAAGGTACCAAAGATTGAATTTGTAATAATTTGTTGCAATGTTCCATACACAGCAATCTGGTGCACCTGAATGAGTGCTGACAGCTACCTAAACACATTCTTATGTTATTTGCTTCAGCACCATCCGTGCTTCAAAAAATATGTTTATAATATTAATCCATATTTTATTATTTATTAATTAAATCCCTAAAAGATGTTGAGCCAATTCCAAAGAATTATCAACAGAGGCAAGCCATTTAAAATCAACTGTTAGATATGTAGGGTTGTTCCAGTTAGCATTAAATTTGTAATTTTGTATGTTTATCTGTATGTCTTATTATTCATACAATTTTGTACAGCTGTAAAAGCTCGTAAGACAAACTCCATTCACTTAATAGAATTCAGAACATAATGTCTGAAGTATCTATTGGGTAGTGAGATTTGGACAAAACACTATGAAAACAGATACAGTATGACTATTTCGCTTACACCGTAGTAGCAACTGCTAATCCCATAGCGGTGATAATTTACATAGCATTAATAGAGTGAAAAAAGGATTTGTGGTTCTTTTTTGTGACAGCACTGAAAATGCAGCATGTGAGCTGGTGAGGATAACAGTTTTAGAAAGAAAAAACCAAAGAGTTAGTAAGTGAGGATTGTCTGGTGATAATTCCAACGTAATAGGAACACGTAAACTAAAAAGAGAAATGATACCCCTAACCCTAGCATTGCTGGAAGAAGAGTTTGATTGCGGTAGATGACCCAGTCTTAGAAGAACCAGAAAATGAATTAGAAAACATTGATGCTTATGATTCAGAGTAAGATGAAGCATATGACTCACTATCTGACCATGAGAGTAATGATTATATTGGGAAAAGGGAGGATAGTGAATATTACTTTTTTTTTTCCGGTAAATACTGTGGTTAAATTATGAGTATTGTCATTCTGAATTATTGAGATTTTCAGTTAACATAGTCACTTTTTCTAATTTATGTTTTGGCAGTTTTTTTTATTTATATGAAATTGGTTTACTTCAACTGTTATCTGCCTTCCACTATTTATCATAACAAGTTTTTGGTCGCTATTGATAGCACTGTTGGCAAATTTTTGACATTTTGCTATTTTCCATGATCCGCTATTGAAAACAGTTTTTTTTAGTAAGGCTGATAGTTACTGGTGACAACCAAGCTACTGAAAATAGTTGTCATTGCTTATCAAGTATCTTAAGTTACAATACTGAAGTAACTTTTTCTCCTATTTATAACTCAATACAGGAGTTTTCATCTCAAGTAATTATTTTATGACAGCAACAGATTGAAGTGCCCAATGAGACCCCAATCATGAATACTGGAATCAAATGATACATACATGGCAACTTTTCAAGGAAACATAACATTATTTATTCAATGCCATAAGTATGCAGAATCTCCAACAACAAACTATTTGTTTATCATCAGCAAAATTAACATTTTGTACACACTTGAAGGATTTCCAAACCTCACATTATTGAATCTGATAACAAACTATTTGTTTATCATCAGCATAATTAACATTTTGTACACACTTGGAGGATTTCCAAACCTCGCATTATTGAATCCAATATCAAATTCAAGATCTTCTAAACAACTTGACCTTCCACGTATTAGAGAACACAGGTTAACAACACATAACTATAACCAGCAAGGTTTAATTTTAGCTACTTGATTCCTGCTTCACAGATCCATTTCCCTTGCCCTCAATAAAACAACACCATCTAGTTACCTGAAGCCAACTACGTGAGTAAGTTTTGCATATAAGTTTTTTCATGGATTAGGTATGCTAATACATATCTTAAAATAAGAGTATAAATATGTTTTGGTAGTTTTAATCAAAACATAGTATACCAAACTAAACTAATCATTCAAAGTCCTCAATATTTCAATTCAATTATGTCTGTCTATGAAATATAACAAGGTTCTTAATATAAAATATAACAAGGAAACAAACCTCAAACATGAGACTGTATTTCCCATCCTTATTTCGCATTCTTAAATATGATTGGCATGTTTCTGGATCTTCACCGGGAGGTAGAAGATATATATCATAAGTTTGCTCGGTTGTTTCCATACAATCTTCAGAGAGAACAGCTTTAATTTGATCAACTGCTACATTCTTTGCTGACTGAAACAAATAATACAACAGATTACTTGCTGCCTTTAATTCATCATCACATATAAGGATCAGAACCAACAGGATTGTCCATTTTTTTCTGTCAAATGAGCTAGATTGGAACTAACCTTTAAAATGTAAGTCGGGCTCTGGAATCCAGTAAATGGATTAAATTTGTTGGTAATTTTTATATGCGCCGTCTTGAGATCTGGCTCAATGAAAGCCTTGTACATCGGATATACCTGCAAAAATTTGAACTTCACTAATCACTTCCCCAGACACAATTACACTCAATCTATAAAAGTGATGAAGGGGATTATAAAAGTATGAACCGTCTCAGATATTTGATGAATAATTTCTTCAGGCTCTTGGCCAGCACGTTGTATGTCGCGTATAACTCGCTTTACAAGGTCAAGGTGAACTCCACCTGTAACAGAAACTCGAAGGTCCAGCAAAGTTCGCAACTTCTCACTCAAAGCATAGATACCCTCTATAATCACAATATTGGAAGTCGGGGGTTCTACAGTCCTGTAAGCAGGGTACACTTTAACAAGAAATTGAAGGCATGCATATGTTATTGGAGTGAGCGATCATTTCGAGTTTTGGTTCAATTGAAACCAATTTTGAACTAAATTATTCAGAAACTTCAGATTTACAGGAACAAACAGAAATTGGTGGCAAATATTAACAGTGTATCAAGCAATAGTATGGAGCTACATATCTTTAATTTTTATTTCCATCAAAATAGTGTTCCCTGAGCACTGGCCCAAGAGAGAAAAAAGATCTACTCTGAAAATATGCAAATTGTGCGGAACAACTACTCAAGACGTCTTAGAATTTAACCTGTATCCTACGCGTGAACTGGACTTGAAATCATATATCGGAACCTGGACTGTCTTTCCTTCCTTTAAATCTTGTAAATTCTGGAGCAATGTGTCATAGTCAGTTAAGCGTGGATCTGCACAAAGAGATAGCAGAGCTGACAAGAGATTTGTGGCCTAATTTCAAAACAGTTAACCTATGTTTAAATGTCCCAATAACCAAAGCCAAGCATGAATGCGAGACTTTGATTTTATGGATCAGATAAATCTATGCATCAGATGTACTCATCTGCAAAGATATGCAAGCATTCTAGCTCACCTCTCCAATGCATGCTGCTTATAAATGAATGGACTCCAATAAAGCTTCGAGAAATTTAAAAACACACATACCTCACTGAGATGGAAGGAAAAGGAAGAAAAAAAACCATATTCATTTTGAGTCCAAGGAAGAGTAGTTGACTGCAATTGTAGTATCATAACATTACTTTATTTTTTGCCTTTTGGAAGCTGGTATGGGGATTCCTTCATTTGTTTTAGTTTCAGTTATTTATTAACCATTTAATCTTCTATAAAAACATTTTTCTCTTCCATCATTGACATTTCTAGCACCTGCTTAGTGCGGGCATCACTTTTTTTGGCCCAGTAGCCTGATGGCTGGAATTTCACCCCTTAAAGGTGAATAAGTGGGATGTCGCGGATTCAAACCCACGCCCCTGCATAGTTACCAACTAAACTAACTTAACTGGACAGTGCAGGCATCACTTCTAGTCAGTCTTACCATTCTACAAATTGATTTATGTACTTGCTAAAAGTACAACGAAGATGAGAGCCTGCCTGCTCAGATTTCTCGTGGAATTTGTGAATATCACATCCCAATTATGAACTGAGGTATTTATAAATGGCTTCTTGGGTTTGGGCTGAAAGCCAAGAGGTGGTTTCCACTATTTCATGATCAGGAACATGGCAGTAGTGGAAGACTTATTCCTCCTTTGACTCGTCTTACTTGGACACCTCATAGTCCACGTTTCACAAGCAAATGGATCACACATTAGACCTGGCTTCCAGGCCTAGCTTCGGGCGACCAGGGCGTCTAGGCCCGATCAGGCGACCAAGCCTAATCGGATGGCCGAGTACAAAATCACGGCACTTCGCTCTTCATCTCATCATGGGCCGCCTTGTATGGCCCGATAAGATTATACCGGTACAATTTAATATTACGTTCGAAGTTTTTCAACAAATCAGATCAGACACGTGATCTTAAAAATACCTAGGTATGGTCAAGTAGCATATGAAATAATATACATTAGATAAGTTCTAATTACCATATAGCTCAGTCATTGGGGTATATCAACATAACCACAAAAAACATAGCATTATTAAAATACTACTAGAGAAAAAAAATTAACAACTAAGAATGTTTTTAGGGAAAAACAACACAACAGATGATATTGACATCAATGTCCTGGGCGAAGAACAACATTTCATCATGCTGTGAAGTCTACATCCAAATAATGAACCACAAAAAATGACAAGAAACAATAAGACAACATGATGACTTACCATCAAAGTTTCCATCAACAATTCGACTAGCATCATTGTAATTATCCATTGAAATAACAGCAACACTAGGCATGAAGTTAAGTATCTTTTCAGTAAATATAGTCTTCCCTGCTCCGGAAGGACCCGCCACCCCAACCAATATAATTCCATCATTCTTTTGAGCCAACAATTGACATGCACGAATGACTATAAAAAACCCCTTCTCAAATGATAGTTGATCTTGTATTGCAGCAATCTCATAGCGATTAGAATCTTTCCTTTTCACCAAATGAACTTGATCTTTTAAAAGACCAAGACGTTTATTATGAAAATCACAACTAGAAGTATCGTTCGCCATCAAACAACTCTTAGTTTCCTTAAAGAAAACAGAACAAATAGTTAACTACAACAACATCAATGCTGCCACATATATAACCAAAAAAAATCTATTTGCATATGTCCAGAAATATCAGATACACAAAGATCCACAAACATAGTTCCGTATACATATGGAATATGATCACATATCTCTTTCATATCACCATCAGATAATAATAGTTCCAATGAAGAAACTATTTTTTTGTAACCTAAGAAAAAACACTGTTCCTCACAAAAAAAAGGTACGAACAACTTTTAAGAGGTTTAAAAGGATGACCCGAAATATATAATAATAATATTAATAACAAAAAAAAGAGAGCGGCAAAAGAATTAAACACAAACCATAAACAGAAAGAAATATAAAACGTAGCAAAATCCACAAAACACCTTTAACCACTCTATTCTGGCAAGAACTATGGATCCAAATCAGCGATTAAAAAAAAAACTTTAACAAGAACAAAAAAATAAACAGTGATATGGATAAGAGAATGCGAATCGAAATTGATCGAATGTGAAGGCTTGTGATGATCAGAGAACTCACCAGCGGAAGAGTTAAGAGTGAGTTCAGAGAAAATCCAGAAGAGAAACCATTATTTGAAGGTCGGTTCTAAAATATATAATCATCATTTTTATTAATTAATATTCGCCAAACCCTTTTTCCGAAATCAAAGTAATGTGCGATTTTGTAGGATATCGGTGGGATCCTAAAGAATCTGCAATCCGAAAGAATGAAAATCTTCAGAACAATAGAAAGAAAGAAAAAAACTGTGCAAAACTTAATATTGTACGATTATTATTATAATAATTATTTATATATATATATATATATATATATATATATATATATATATATATATATATATATATATATATATATATATATATATATATATATATATATATATATATATATAAATTTTGGTTTTAATATAGCTTATTTTTATTTTAATTATACTATTTTATTTTTTATTTTAAAATTTAATTTCTCTATTACTAACTTCTTTTTTATTAATTATTATAAAGTAGTTTGCATATCTATTTTATTCAATCTCTTAATATAAAATTTAAATTAAAATAAAAAATAAACATACAACAAATATCATTTACCTATAACACATATAAATGGAATATTTGATTTCCGTATAGCCTATTTTTATTTTAATTATATTTTTTTATATTTTATTTTAAAATGCAACTTCTTTTTTACTAACTTTTTTTTTATTAATGATTATAGAGTGGTTGGCATAACTATTTCATTCAATATTTTAATATAAAATTTTAATTAAAATAAAAAATAAACACAATAAAAATACCGTTTATATTTTTAAACATGTGAACATTCAAAAGCGAACAGACAAGCACGGGAGTGTCCGTCTGGACGCAAGTAATTCAAATACTCATACTTTTATGTGTAATTAAAATAAATGGTGGAAATTATGTATAAGTATTTTTTCTCTCTCCTTCATCATTTATTTTAATAATGGAGGAGAAAAAAAATCACACATAATATTCACCATTTATTTTAAAATCTAATGATTCAGATTTATTCTTATGTTCTCACATAAAAATAACATTCGCATAAAATATATATATATATATATATATATATATATATATATATATATATATATATATATATATATATATATATATATATATATATATATATATATATATATATATATATATATATATATATATATATATATATATATGATCAGAAGAGAATCAATGGATCGCCACGCGTCTTTGATCTACTGCCTGTTCAGCGGTGGTAAGAAGGAGGAGGGGGTGTAACTCCGATGCCAAAGTAAGGAATTGGAGAGAGTGAGAGCAAATACAGAAAGTAGGTTGAGAATTGAATACCTGACCCTCTTGTGAAAGAAGGCATTTATAGAGAGACCCCAGTACAGGGTCAACGATCACTTGAGTTGGGCTGGATGGTCAGGCCCAACCCAAGTGACTGCTAGGGCTTACGTGGCATAGTGAAGACCAGAACGTGGTATTCGCCCTAGTTCAACTGCTACGTGAACTCTAGAGAGTGGGTTGACCTGCTCTTTCAGAGGTGGGCAGTTGGTTGATGACGTGTCCCTGCGGAGGGGAGCACGTGGAGGACGTGTGAGACACACGTCTTTCTGTCCGACGGGGCAAGGTCTGGTCGATATGAGACTCGTGCTCGACATATATGAGGAAAGCTCCTTTGAGCCTTTCCTCAAGCATAGGTGGGCTGGATATATATATATATATATATATATATATATATATATATATATATATATATATATATATATATATATATATATATATATATATATATATATATATATATATATATATATATATATATATATATATATATATATATATATATATATATATATATATATATATATATATATATATATATATATATATATATATATATATATATATATATATATATATATATATATATATATATATATATATATATGATGATGATGATGATGATGATGAACCTTGAAGATTGAATTGGAAAATTACGATTTAGCTAAATTTGTTGTTAAATATATTATCCGCTAATTTTGAGATATTTTGATATAGGGTACGGAAACATCTGAAATAGCCCTAACTAAAACGGTTATGGAAATAATAAGTGCTTTTTACAACTGAAATAATGTTTTAAATTAAACTTTTATTATAATTATTTAATTAAGAAATTTTAAAATAGAAATTTTATATTAAAAAATGAATAATCAACATTTAATTAAAATAATATATATTTTAAAAAATATATATTTCTACATTTAACTCTTAGCATATCTTAACTTGTGTCTTTTGGCATATATTATCGTTATCCATTAATATATTTTTATAATTTTTATAATTTTTATAAAAGGAATACAACCTTTTTTATAATTTTTTAAAAGGAATTTTGAAATTTTTATTTTCTATTCGTTGCTATTTGTATATGAATGTCTGTCTCTAGGTATGGCAACGGGTCAAAGACGATTTTTATCTCTTTAAATTCAAATATAAATCCTCGAACAATTTCAGTTTTCGTCCCAAGTCTAAACGGGAATGAAAAATTAAAACTCAAACTCGTCCCAATTAAATTTGGTTTGGGTTCGGGTATCCCCACCCCACTGCTTGAAATTATATTTTTAGTAGAAATATTTATTTTTTCCAAAATCAAATTACGTTACAAATAATACAATAAAACAATCTCAAAATATTTCATATATACATTTCAAATATTTTAAATAATTAATACAAAACAAAATATCAAAATATTGGTCTATTTAATATTCTAAATTAACAAAACTAAATAATAATGTACATAATAAAATATACTGGCCGGATTTGAACGGGTTCGGAGTGGATACTTACCCGACCCGTTCCCATAATTTATAATTGAAAAAAATCATAGCTCGAACTCAAACCCACTCAAAGCAGGTTTTTCTCATCAACTTCGAAATGGATTCAAATGGATACCCAAAGTTATGAATTATAGTGTCATACCTACCTATCCCAAACAGGGTAAAAACAAATACATGTTATTATTAACAATTATATATATATATATATATATATATATATATATATATATATATATATATATATATATATATATATATATATATATATATATATATATATATATATATATATATATATATATATATATATATATATATATATATATATATATATATATATATATATATATATATATATATATATATATATATATATATATATATATATATATATATATATATATATATATATATATATATACTCCCTCCATTCCTATTTTATAAACAACTCTTGAATTTTAAATTGTTTTCAACTATTTTTGTATTAATAATTAAAATCAAACAAAAGAATTCGATCATTTTTTCATAATCAATAGTTTTCATCAAATCAAATCAATATTTTTTTTCGTATAATCTTAACAATATCTTTCATTTAAAATCAACTAATACACAAGTAATCTAACAAAACTATATAGATTTGAATTCTTCATTGGATCAAAATATACGAAGAAGTAACAATAATTAAAAAAATATTCTATTTTTTCCTTTATTTTTAAACACTTTTTCACTTAAAATGATAAAATAAATAAAATAAAAATATTTTATGATAAGTAACATTTAATGCTAAGAAAAAATAAATATTTAAAAGTTAACAAAAAGTTATGTACGATTAATTAGAGTTAATTGTTTTTTAATAGATAATGTAGTGTGTTAATATCTTTCATACATATAATCGACTATCGAATCTAAAATTTAGTTTCATAAACTATTTTTTTTTGTTTTTAAACGGCTTTAACGATATTTTCTCTATTTTAATAAACGTCGAAAGTGAGTGCATTATTTTTTGCAACCCTTTAATTTTTAGGTCAATTTTATCCCCACTCATTTCAAAAATAATAAAATTGTGAATAATCCTTGAAACTTATGGACAAAAAAATGCAATGTAATTTAAAAGTAAAATAATTGATAACTAGTGCTTTTAGCAATAAAGAGTTAAATAGTACAATTATATATTTAATTATAGCACTATTAAGTAAATGTGAAGTCCTTGAAATGATATATGAAGGCTTTACTAAGATCAAAAGGATATAATGAACATATTAATCCAAGAGTCTAACATACTTAAATATTTTGAAACAAAGTTTTATAATTGGTTCTCTCAAAATATTAAAACTCTTGAAAATCATTTCAAATTTTGTGTATCTAACAAAAATCTTGAATTTGAAAATTGATGTTGAAAATGTAAAATAATCTCAGTTTTAAAATATGAAGATGCACCCTCTAAAAATATGATTGTTATATTTGATAAATTGTAAGAGATACTGAAATATCTCAAAAAACTCAAAGAAGAAGAAAACTTGAAAGAATATAAGGTTCAAAATGAATATAGGAGAATAAAAGAATCTTTACAGAAGAAAGTGATGATTTAAACTTGTTTAATGAATCAGAACAAAAGGATGAG